CATCCTCTGTCGTCCCCTTCTCCTCCTGCCCTTAATCTTTCTCAGCATCAGGGTTTTTTCTAATGAGTCAGCTCTTTGCATGAGGTGGCTAAAGTATTGGAGTTTCAGCTTCATCAGTCCTTCCAATGAACACCCATCACTGATCTCCTTTAGGATGGACTGGTTGGATCTCCTTGCAGTCCAAGGGACTCTCAAAAGTCTTCTCCAGAACGACAGTTTTGTTTCTCCAAAAGCATCAATTCTTCTGTGCTCAGCTTTCTTTATAGTCCAACTCTCACATTGATACATGACCACTGGAAAATTTGGGAAACGTCAATTGCATTTTTTTTCTCTTCCCATGACTGGTCTGTGATGGATGTTCTTTAAACGAAGAGCCTTCCGACAATAATTTGAAAATGAAGAGGAATGTACCCGAGGGGTCAGGTAGACATGAAGAACAAATCATTTCTTTTCAGATCAGTAAGACAGAAATTGCCATGGAACACATTTCTCATTTTCCCCCAGTTTTTGAAGTGTTAGCCGCTCAGTCACGTCCTTTTCTTTCTGACCCCATGGACCATAGTCAGCCAGGCTCCTCTGTCAGTGGGATTCTCCAGGCAAGAATATAGGAGTGGGTTGCCATTTCCTTCTCCAGGGGATCTTCTCAATTCAGGGATCGAACCCAAGTCTCCCACATTGCAGGGAGATTCTTTACTCTCTGAGCCACCAGGGCAGCCCATAGAGCTATTTTGCTGAAGAGCTTCTAGTAAGCTACATTCATTAATAAAACAGTTGTCTTAAATAGCTTCTGGATAGAATTTCTTCTTTAGAAATTTCTATAGATCAGCATTTCCCAAACTGGTGTTCTGTGGTGCATGGTTCTGGATCCATTGCTGGGGAGCTTGGAAAAGACTAGGTCTGTGTTCAGTTGGCCTGGAGTAAAGACTGCATTCCTTTCCCTTTCAGATTCTGTTCACATTAATGGTTTAGAATAAAGACCTTTGGATGGTCTCCTGGGAAAGGGTCTAGTTAACTCTCTTTAATCCATTATTTCTCAAACATTTGCAAAGGGGACACGTTCTTCTCTGTGCCACAATTAGGATCCTGGGAACAGTGTTCCATGAAGTGCCCCTTTGAGAAAGTCACTTTAGCATCATTTACATTTCCAATGGGCATCCTGATTATAAAAACTCATCAGCGGTGACTTTAATATGGTATGTCAGGAGTCCCCAAGACCATCCCCACTAGAAGGACTCGTGGAACTCAGAATCTAGTAGCAAGAAAGGCTAAGACTTATTACAGTGATGTAATAAGGATACACAGGCTTCTCAGATGGCTCAGTGGTAAAGTATCTTCCCGCAGTGCAGGAGACTCGGGTTCAGTCCCTGGATTGGGAAGATCCCCTGGAGAAGGAAGTGGCAACACACTCTAGTATTCTTGCCTGGGAAATTCCATGGACAAAGAAGCCTGGTGGGCTACAAAGAGTCCATGGGGTCACGAAGGGTCAGATGCAACTGAGCAAGAGAGAACACACACAGTAAGGATACACAGTCAGACCATAAGGGAAAAGACAGGCAGAGTTTGGAGGAATGCACACATGGGATTCCTTATGTTTTCTTCCTCTCATGGGGGCCACAAAGAGCTCACTGTCTCTCCCTGCCCTCCCCAACCCCCTACTCCGCCACTGCCTGCTCACCCCCAGCAAAAGAAATGCAGTCACCAGTATGCAACATTTCTGCCCAGGAAAGCCCTTTAAGAGACTTCATGCCAAATGTATTTACTGGGTCTCATCACAGAGGTGGGCTTCCCTTGTGGTTCAGCTTGTAAAGAGTCCGCCTGCAATGTGGGAGACCTGGGTTCCATCCCTGGGTTGGAAAGATCACCTGGAGAAGGGAAAGGCTACCCACTCCAGTGTTCTGGCCTGGAGAATCCCATGGACTGTATAGTCTATGGAGTTGCAAAGAGTCGGACACAACTGAGCAACTTTCACTTTCCCTTTCACTTTTCATCACACAGGTGCTCTCTGCCTAGCAAGCACCAAAATTCCAGACGCCCAGACAGAAAGCTGGTTGGCATCATAAATCACACTGTTTGCTCAGATAGTCTGAGCACAGAGAGGCACTCTTTACAGCCTGTAGGAACCTTCCTGAAATCTAGGCTCCTGGACACCAGCTAGAGATCCACCTCACTAATAGGAGAACAATCTCGGGCCTGCGGTGTTAACCTTTTTCTGCATATATAGTCATCTTCAGTTTATATTAAATTTTTATGTAGTCAAAATTAAATGTTCACATTTAAAAATTTCTCCATCCTTCTTCTCTTAAACTCACTATCTGTGTGTAGACCCCAAACTGTACCTCTTCTCTCTTGCTCATTAGCTGTACTCCCGATCTGAGAAATTACTGGGCTCCATGGGTTTTAATGGTTTTTACCCGTGTTCTTATGATTGTTTTATAAAAATGCAAAATTTTAAAAGAGTTAAATTTAAAAGCAAGTTTTAAAAGTGAAAGTGTAAGTCGCTCAGTCAAGTCTGACTCTTTGCAACCCCATGGACTGTAGCCCGTTAGGCTCCTCTGCCCATGGGATTCTTTTTTTTTGAGTTTAAACCAACAGTTTTTTAATATAGAGTAAAATTTTAAATGGACTCTGTTGAGTTTAAAATTTTTCTCAAGAACATTCAGTGATGCTTGAAGATAATCAAGCTCCTGTAGCATTTGGTTTAAAATGATTTCTGGAACATCAGAAATCTTACCAATTCAAATGTAACCTTCTATTTTTCTGAACATCTGAGTGCCCATGGGATTCTCCAGGCAGGAATACTGGAGTGGGTTGCCATTCCCTTCTCCAGGGGATCTTCCTGACCCAGGGACTGAACCCAGATCTCCTGCATTGCAGGCAGATTCTTTTCTGTCTGAGCCACTTAGGGAAGTCCCAGGAATATTGGAGTGGGTAGCCATTCCATTCTAAAATATTAAAAAAAATGGGAAAAGTAGCATTTTTACCTATTACACTGCCATTGTGATAATTTGGTATATTGCCTATTTACATTTGTGATCCTTTTTGTACAGACTGCAGATTTGTAATGGTGGTTTTTTTTTCTTCTCCCACTTACTTTTTCTTCAGAAAATATTTCTCATGTTGCTACATGACCACCATTTTAAGGATGCCTTCAGAATATTCTATTGAGTTGATGTATCCTAATTTACTTACTTCGTTATTGTTGGATGGTTAGATGGTTTCTAAAGTTTTGCTGTTTTGCCAAGAGCTACAGTGAATATATATTTCATGCTTTTTATTCCCCTTTAGGAGTGTTTCCTCCTCCAAAAAAAAATGCGTCTTCATTTAATAGCTGTTAATATTTGTAGCCAAATTGCTTTTCAAACTGATGATATCAACTTAAAATGCCATCAGCAATGTAGTAGTACCAATTTCACTGTCTTCCAACAAACACTGCTTTATTATAATTATTGTAAATTATAATAAAATTTTTGTTAGAATAAGGTACATAGTAGAGCAAAGCATTTATTATAATAAAATACAACAATAAATGTATTACAAGTAATTATAAATTATTAATTTTACCTTAAGTAGCAAAATCATAGAGCCTAATTTTAATTTGCATTTTGATTACCAAAGTGAATGATTACCAATATAAAAGAATGCTTTCTCTTGAATTCATTTACTTTTTATAATTCATTTTTTCCTTCAATAATTTTTATTATGGAGCTTCTGTGTGAAACGCAGCTTGGGAATAAAACAGTGAACAAAACAAGTGAAATCTTTGCCATTGCAATGCTCGCTTTCAAGTGGAGGATGTAGAAAAACAAGCAAGCAAAAAAAGCCAGTGAGCGAACAACATACCAAGTTCAGTGGAGAAAAATTAAGAGGAGAGTGGAGAAAAGGAGTACCTGAAAGAGAGTAGTGATTTTATGTCGATGGTCAGGGATGACCTCTGTAATTACATCTGAACACAGGAAGTGAGGGAGAAAACCATGTGACTATTTCTGGGGAAAAGCATTCCAGGCAGTGGGAATGGCTAGTGCAAAGTCCTGAGGCTTATTCTTATGGTAGAAAGAAGTTCTTATGGTTCTTTCTTATGGTAGTTGAAGTTCACTGATTATGTTCGTATGCTGGGGTGAGGGAGATCAAGAAGAGAGGGAAAAAGGGAATGGTTGGTAAGTACAGTACTGGGGAAGCAGGAGAGTGTGGCTTAGAGCTTAGATGGTGGGATTTTTTTTTTTTCTTTAAAGCAGCTGCTTGTGTTGTTTATTTTTTAAAATTTTATTTAATTTACTTATTATTTATTTTTGACTGTGCTGGGTCTTCGTGTGGTACATGGACTTCTCATTGCGGTGGCTTCTCTTATTGCCTCACACGGGCTCTAGGTGCCCGGGCTTCAGTAGCTGTGGCACGTGGGCTTAGTTGCCCCATGGCAAGTGGGATCTTCCTGGACCAGGGATCGAACCTGTGTCCCCTGCATTGGCAGGTAGATTCTTGACCACTTAACCACCAGGAAAGTCCCTCGTATTCTTAACTAGAAGGATAAACATTGTATTTCTGAAAAAAGAGGAAAGAGAGTTAATGATGGATGCTGGTTAGTCTTCTGGATGAGGGCATGGGGTCAGGGCCAGGTCACGGGGAGGATGGTGCAAGGATTTGAGGGGACAAGGATTTGAGAACACAGCAGTTCCGGGGCCTGGTAGGAATATGTGACTGGAGTCACGTAAAATGATTCCTGGGTAGCATTAGGAGCTGCACTGAGTTTGGAGGCCATGTATTCCCAGTGCCAAGCACCTTCCTTGCCATGACCTGTGTGTGCAAGTAGAGATCATAGATTATCTGATCATTTGGGTTGGACTTCTCCTGAGTAGGGCCCTGGAAGGCTGAGGGGTTGATGGAGTAAAGGCTGTTGGCAAAAGAATGATTGATGTGAGACATCATCCTTAGGGGAGGGTGTGCAGCGTCAGAGGGTTTAAGGGTGAATGTCATGGCTGATGAGGAGGTAAATGAACCCTGAAGCTATTGGAGTGGAGGGTCCATGAGGACATTAGAGTGTCTCAAGCTGAACCATGGTGGGTTGAAACTGGAGACCATGACCCCCTCAGAGTCTGTTGCTTCATGGGCTTGTTTTTTCAACTAGGTGGTAAATCCCGGACTATGTCATCTCCCTGTCTGTCTATTTGTCTTGATTAAAGTGCCCCAGTATGTTCATTTGTATTTATTACACTCTTGAGAAATGTATAATCTAGTTGGAGGGGAGGAGAATACTTCAAGTTAGTTAGGAGTTGATAATGGATTGCTGGCAAAGGTGAAGAGGGAAGGGAGCCTGACTAGAGCAGATTTATATGAAATAGAAGAAGCTTCGTGGGAAGAGAGGCTCTTCATGGCTTTTGGACTTATTTCCTCTACTGCTGGAGAAGTTAGAGTAATTGTGGTCCATCTATTCACCAGTTGGTTCTCTCATCTTTAATACAGTCCTTTACAGGATACCTGGCCTGGGATAGTGTGAGAGGTGTGGCCAAACATTGTTGGAGGCCAAAATCTCATCTGGAGGCTGGACCTGTCATGTTGCTACCATTACTGATGTGCTATCAATAGCTAGATAAATAAAAATGACATGATGCTGTTTTTTTTGGTAGGACCTTTGTGTAAATGGTGCTCAGATACTGCACTTTAAAAGCTCTTTAGTGGAGGAAGCAGTCAATGAGCTAATAAATATGTTGCTGGATGTGGAAGTTCCATCTAAAGAAGAAAGAGAGAAAGTATTCAATGTGAATAGTGATGACTGGAAAAATGAAAGTTCAGGTAAGAGAGGGGGGTGATGGAAGGGTCTTGTTTTTCTAGGACATGCCTGAAAACCAAAATTTAATTTTCTACTTTGCAGTGAATTTCGCACTCGAATAAGACGCTCCCAATTTTATAAGGATGTTAATAAATCTGAAATTAGGATTCAGGGCACACTTGAATGATGGCATGTCATTAATTTCCATTACTTTTTGTTCAGCTCTACAAACGTGTACTTCACATTGGGCCCTGTTAGCTCTCTTTGCATTTAGGTGTGTGTGTGTTTTTTCACTTTATCAGTAAAGTAGGATGGATTATGGGTTGGAATTCCCACTGGAGTATTTCTACACCAGAGCAAGTGGTTTATGGGACAGATGAAGACAGCAAGAGGCAGGGAAGGGACGCTGTTCCCCAAGGGTTTGTGGTTGTTGGTGAAAGAGAGAACCCAGAAAGCCAGCACCTAGCACCCAGGCCCTGTCTTGTTTTTGCATACTTCCTGCCCTTCCTCCTATTCCCACACGTCAAGGATGAGAGGTTCCATCAGGCCACCTTGTTCCCCCAGTGTCCTCTTCCTATCCTCTGATGGCCTCATTTCATGAGAAGTATGACATCTGAGTGTTATTAAACTTGCGTGTATGTGCATATGTGCGGGCTCAGTCCTACCTGACTCTTTGCGACATCATGGACTGTAGCCCACCAGGCTCCTCTGTCCATAGGATTCTCCAGGCAGGAACACGAGTGGGTTTCAGTTTCCTCCTCCAGGGGATCTTCCTGACCCAGGAATCAATCGATTATGTGTTTTGTGTTTCCTGCGTTGGCAGGCGGGTTCTTTACCATTGCACCAATTAATCTTAATTTTCTTCTTTAACTGCAATAGGTGCCCCTCTGCCCCCATCTCTTTCAATTTCTCTCATTTTGTAACAGCAAAAAGAGAAGAAGAAAATTCTGATGCCTTGACTTCTTCCCTTAATGCCGGGGCAGGCCTCCTTCCTTTGATGACAATCTCAAGAAAGAAGAAAGAGATCGAGGTGTTAGAGGAAGGAGCCCGAGAGTTGCTCTCTCACTTCAATCACCAAAATATGGATGCTCTTCTGAAAGTTACAAGGAACACACTAGAGGCCATCCGCAGGCGCATTCAATTCTGCAACATGACGAGCTTCCGGGGTAATGGTCCCACAGGGTTTGCCTCTTGGCTCGCCAAGCCTGGTCTCTGGTTGTGTGTGCATGTGTGTGTGTTCCTGTTAAATTTAAATAATCAAAACCCTCACTGTTTCCTCAGTGCCTCCTTGTACATTTATATAATATGAACTTGGATTATCCCAGCAGTTTGATAAAGTAGACACTATCATTTCTCTCATTTAAGACTGATAAGACTGGAGTCCAGGAAATTTAAGTAATTGACTTAAGGCCACTTAGCTTTTGTTAATAACATAATAATCAGCATCACATTTAATCTTTTTGTAATAAGGTGAAAGCATGTGAAATGAATTGTGTTAACTAGTAAAAGAAGAAATACTTAAAAAAAAAGCTATATAGAAACATACTTTCATTGTTAAATCATTAGATTATTAGCCAGTCTTATAAAGAAAGATTTTATTAATGTCATAACCTCCAAAGCAGAAAATTATTATTATTATTTTTTTGCTATTTTCATGTCAATTTAGTACTTTCCAGCTCCTTTCTTCATTCTTAAAACAATCATCTCTCTTCAGCACCATTCAGAAATTGGTTTCCCAGATGGGCCACAAAAATCATTCAAATCTAGAGACATCCTGAAACTAACCTTTAAATTGAAAACATATAAAAACAAAGTAACAATAATTAATTAAAATTGAAAAAATAATAGGATAATAAACCTTTTTTATTTATTTTGAATATGGGCACCTAAAGTAAAGCATATCTAATAGTTAATTAAAAGTGGATGAAAAGAAGGGGAAACATTGAAAGAAGTTTTGATTGGCAACTTGGTTTATTATGTTTTATTTCACTTCATAATGGAGGATAGTCCTTTTCTTTGACATGGGGCTAATATTTGAACTTATCAACTGTTGATATGCTGGATATTGTCTCCTGTCTTCCCCAACTTTATATATTACAGGTATTTCCAATTGTATACAGTTGCACACATACATATCCATATGTCAATATCCATATAGTCAATATCCATGTTTATATACTCATAACTATACCTATATCCAACTTTAAAAGTCCCTTGGATATAAATGGTGAATTACACTTTATTTCGTCCCTGCTCTTTAACTGCTCCCAGTGTGATATACTCTAACGTATATCAGAGTGACGATAGTGATGGTAGAAAGACATATATTTTATTTGAAATTCCAAGCTGGCATTTGTTCTGATAGTCTTGTGTTTTATTCCTTCCTTCCTTATTCTATATTTAATTTGCTGGCATCCTGTTATTCAGACAGTCTCATCTTCAATATTTTAGGTAAGAGTTTCTATAATTATATAATCTGCTGACTCCATGCAGCAAATTTCCTTTATGGAGCGTGTACCCATAGATTGTAATCAGCAGAAGATGGCTTGGGTTCTATTGAACTACTGTGCTCCACTGAGCAAAACTAGATCCTCTATTAGTTTTTATTCATTCACTCATATGTTCAGCAAATTCATATGGTCTGATGATATACCTATTATGTATTTATCTAGGTGCTTTCATTTTTCTAGTTAAAAATGAGATTTTATCTTTTTAATTAAAAAAAGAATCTTTTTAAATGAAAAGGGTGAAAGCTTCCCTGTTCTGTGTTAACTCAGACAGTAACAGTGCCTCTAAAGTGAAGCAGAATGGTCTGCCCATTTTCCGGGCAAGTGTCACTCTGACCATCCCCAACATCAGCATGGCTCCAGCCCTCGAAGACATACAGCAGACGCTGAACAAAGCCGTGGAGTGCATCGTCACTGTCAGCAAGGGGGTTAGACAGTGGAGCGGTGAGCCGGTGTCCAAGGTGGGTGTGGCGTGAGGAAATTGTTTCATGTGGAAAAGTTGCTTCTTTTACAGGTGATAGGACACTGCAAAGTCTCCTTTTCCTTTGCAGAAAAAGATGCAGGAAAGAAAACCGACTGCCTTGCAGCATAATGAAGACAGTGATTCTGATACTGAAATGGGAGAAAATGAACCTCAAGGTAAATGTTCTTTTAGTTCTTTCTAACTAGTCATTCTAATTCAAAACCTGTTGAGCTTAAAGGTATTTCCATCCCCCCCAGGCCCCGTGCAATCCTCAGATCAGATTGTAATATTAATCTATGAGTCAATTTCATGTTTGGAAAATTCATGTATTTTAATACCACCTTGATAGTGTAGTTTATTATTACTTTTTAAAGATTTTTTATTTAGTTATGGCTGTACTGGGTCTTCATTGCTGGGCCTGGGTTTTCTCTGATTGCAGTTGGTGGGGGCTGCTCTCTAACCGTGGTGTGTGGGCTTCTCACGGCAGTGGCTTCTCTCGTTGGGGAGCACCGGCTCTAGGCCTGCAGGCTTTAATAGTTGTGGCATGCGGGCTCAGTTGTTGCCGCTCTTGGGCTTTAGAGCACAGAGGCAGTAGTTGTGGCGCATGGGCTTAGTTGTCCCATGTTTTGTGGGCTCTTCCTGGACCAGGGGTCGAACCTGTGTCCCCTGCACTGGCAGGCACATTCTTTACCACTGAGCCACCAGGGAAGCCCCTAACTAGTGTGTTTTAAATGTATGTATCAAAGACATACTGGGGGACAAGAAGGATTTTAGTCTCATAGTTTAAAGAAAAGCTTGTCATTATCGCAATGAATATTACCTGGTTTAAGAGATCTTTTGTATTTTGGCCCATTATGTGTCCTGTTTTGCTAAGACGATGTGATTTTTGCTGTATATGTCATGATTTTCATTTATGCTGTTGTTGTTCAGTTGCTAAGTTGTGTCCGACTCTTTGTGACCCCACAGACTGCAGCACACCAGGCTTCCCTGTCCTTCACTATTTCCCAGAGTTTGCTCAAACTCATGTCCATTGAGTTGGCGATGCCATCCAACCATCTCACCCTCTGTCGTCCCCTTCTCCTCCTGCCCTCAATCTTTCCCAGCATCAGGGTCTTTTCCAGCGAGTCGGGTCTTCACATCAGGTGGCCAAAGTATTGGAGCTTCAGCTTCAGCATCAGTTCTTCCAATGAATATTGAGGGTTGTTTTTCTTTAGTACTGACTGGTTTGATCTTTCAGTCCCACAAGAGTCTCCTCTGGCACCACAATCCGAAAGCATTCTTTATGGTCCCACTCTCACATCCGTACATAACTATTGGAAAAGCCATAGCTTTGACTATATGGACCTTTGTCAGCAAAGTGATGTCTCTGGTTTTTAATGTGCTTTCTAGGTTTGTCACACCTTTTCTTCCAAGGAGCAAGCATGGCTGCAGTCACTGTCTGCAGTGATTTTGGAGCCCAAGAAAATAAAATCTGTCACTGTTTCCACGTTTCCCTCTTCTATTTTCCATGAAATAATGGGACTGGATGCTATGATCTTAGTTTTTTGAATGTTAAGTTTTAAGTCAGCTTTTTCACTCTCCCCTTTCACCCTCATCAAGAGGTTCTTTAGTTCCTCTTTGCTTTCTGCCATTAGGATAGTGTCATCCCCATATCCCAGGTAATATTAGGGAGTATATGACATCCAAGTTGCTAATGATAGATGATAAATGCAGTCTTTATTTATTCAAACTTCTTTTAAAGCAGCTGAGCAAACGGCAGAGCTTGTGTAATTTTCAATTAGTGCTCGTATCCCTTGAGGTGATAAATAAACTCACTGGGAGGAAGGCACTGAACCAAGTCCCTCTTTAAAATAATCTGTTAGCAAAGGGGATAAAGGCGGAGTGCCCAGCCTCAGTAGTTGCAGTGCACGGGCTTAGCTGCTCCGAGGCATGTGGGATATTACTTCCCTAACCAGAGGTCGAACCTGCGTCCCTTGCAGTGCAAGGTGGGTCCTTAACCACTGGACCACAGAGAAGTCCCCTCTATTGCTTTTATAAAGAAGACTTTCAGAAGTCCTCACCTTACTATTACAGTGTTAGTCTCTCAGTCGTGTCCGACTCTTTGTGACCCCGTGAACTGCAGCCCGCCAGGCTCCTCTACCCAAGAGATTTCCCAGGCGAGAATACTGGAGTGGGTGGCCATTTCCTTCTTCAGGGGATCTTCCTGACCCAGGGATCGAGCATGGGTCTCCTGCATCGGCCCGCAGATTCTTTATTGTCTGAGCCACCATGAAGCCCCCTTACTATTACAGAAATTTGCTCATCTTTCTAAAGCACGTTTCTATACTGTTGATATAAATATTTCTCTCTCTCTTTTTTTTTCCTTTAGATACCCTTGAGATAGCATCTGTGAACTTACCCATTCCCGTGCAAACCAGGAACTATTATAAGAATGTTTCTGACAACAAAGAGATTGCAAAATTAGTCTCTGTGCTTAGTACAATCATCAGCTCCACCAAAAAGGTATGCCAAGCGGATCTGCAGCCAGGCTCTTTTGCTTTGCAACATGTACCTGTGTGAAGTCCAGCATTAAAGCTTGTCCTTCACGTAGCCTGGTAGCACTGTGACTTCAGTGAGCAACTTATGGAATCTTGTATGTGCTCAGCAAATGTTTAACTCAAGATTTTTCATTCCAGATTGCAAGGTGACAGAGAACTATCTTTTCTGTTTTTTTTATATTGTATCCTGTTTCATGCCTTAAACTACTTATGTACTTATATATCAATAATACAAATAAGTCTGTTGAAAAAATTTGATACATCTTAAAGCCCAAGTCACACTTTACTTTCAAAGAGTCAGTGATGCTGGAACTGACTTGTATCATTTGAAATAGAGTAAGANCCATATCCGAGGTAATATTAGGGAGTATATGACATCCAAGTTGCTAATGATAGATGATAAATGCAGTCTTTATTTATTCAAACTTCTTTTAAAGCAGCTGAGCAAACGGCAGAGCTTGTGTAATTTTCAATTAGTGCTCGTATCCCTTGAGGTGATAAATAAACTCACTGCGAGGAAGGCACTGAACCAAGTCCCTCTTTAAAATAATCTGTTAGCAAAGGGGATAAAGGCGGAGTGCCCAGCCTCAGTAGTTGCAGTGCACGGGCTTAGCTGCTCCGAGGCATGTGGGATATTACTTCCCCAACCAGAGGTCGAACCTGCGTCCCTTGCAGTGCAAGGTGGGTCCTTAACCACTGGACCACAGAGAAGTCCCCTCTATTGCTTTTATAAAGAAGACTTTCAGAAGTCCTCACCTTACTATTACAGTGTTAGTCTCTCAGTCGTGTCCGACTCTTTGTGACCCCGTGAACTGCAGCCCGCCAGGCTCCTCTACCCAAGAGATTTCCCAGGCGAGAATACTGGAGTGGGTGGCCATTTCCTTCTTCAGGGGATCTTCCTGACCCAGGGATCGAGCATGGGTCTCCTGCATCGGCCCGCAGATTCTTTATTGTCTGAGCCACCATGAAGCCCCCTTACTATTACAGAAATTTACTCATCTTTCTAAAGCACGTTTCTATACTGTTGATATAAATATTTCTCTCTCTCTTTTTTTTTCCTTTAGATACCCTTGAGATAGCATCTGTGAACTTACCCATTCCCGTGCAAACCAGGAACTATTATAAGAATGTTTCTGACAACAAAGAGATTGCAAAATTAGTCTCTGTGCTTAGTACAATCATCAGCTCCACCAAAAAGGTATGCCAAGCGGATCTGCAGCCAGGCTCTTTTGCTTTGCAACATGTACCTGTGTGAAGTCCAGCATTAAAGCTTGTCCTTCACGTAGCCTGGTAGCACTGTGACTTCAGTGAGCAACTTATGGAATCTTGTATGTGCTCAGCAAATGTTTAACTCAAGATTTTTCATTCCAGATTGCAAGGTGACAGAGAACTATCTTTTCTGTTTTTTTTATATTGTATCCTGTTTCATGCCTTAAACTACTTATGTACTTATATATCAATAATACAAATAAGTCTGTTGAAAAAATTTGATACATCTTAAAGCCCAAGTCACACTTTACTTTCAAAGAGTCAGTGATGCTGGAACTGACTTGTATCATTTGAAATAGAGTAAGATTTACACTCTAATTTTATGATGATAACTTTGTATTTGTGTATATCAGATGAAAGTTTATATATATTATAATGTGGAAACGAGATAATACTGAGAATATTGAAAATATTATCAGCACAAACTTGCATTGGACATGGATATAAATTCAGGTTAATTTTTTTCTTCCAACCACTTCTTCTCTAAACTTTTCCTTTTATGTTCAGGCAAATTTGTTTTCGTGGTCAAAAAGACTCAAAATTCTGAAGTCAATTTCTCCTTAAAAGAAAATATTCACATTGCCAGTAAGACCTGCTGACTCTTTAAAAATGTTTCTCAGTGTTGAGGGAACAGCTGTCACTCAGTAAATGTATCTTTTCTATTACTCAGCATTGATAGGATGAACTTCTTTTGTTTGAAAGTGTTTTGAAAAGCTGCCTTTGCTGTAACCATGTGAGGAAATACTAACTTTAATTTTAATGTATTCCTGAGGGAACTGGAAGCTTTTGCATTTCTGTACTTTCTATTTTCCTTTCTTAATATGGTGAAGGTCCTGTATTTAATTTTGCCCTGGTGTCCCAACCACAACCAATCCCCTGGCGTGGGCTGAGATGCAGACATACACATCCAGAATGCATTGCAACAGCATGTGGACATTCTCACAAATGGATGATGGTTTGGAGAATGAATTACAGATCATCAAGGACCCGTGAATATGGGTAGAAATTCCAGAATCCCGCTCTTTCAACATCCAAGAGTTTATATTATTAAGAACATATCCTACCTAAATAAGTTTTAGACTCTCATTTATTTTATCTTCAATTTAACAAATATTTGTCTAGTGCTTAGTTTATCAAGCTCTATACTAAATGTAAAGGTAAATAGAGTATTTTATGATGATAATAAGCATTGAAGGATCCTTTTAAATGTATCAGTAATTGTGGAAAACACAATAAAATAGATCAATAATAAAGGTCATTACTTTCTCTGAATGTAAGCAGCCACTATTATGAAAATCTGAGTAAGGCCTAGTAGTTGAAATTAATACCCTGCTGGCACCAAAATACTTATGTCTGTGTCATTTTTGTTACATTTGCCTTTCTATTATATGAAGGAAATGTACAGATGTTAGTCTTTCTTAAAATAATAGAAAAAGNAGCCCAAGTCACACTTTACTTTCAAAGAGTCAGTGATGCTGGAACTGACTTGTATCATTTGAAATAGAGTAAGATTTACACTCTAATTTTATGATGATAACTTTGTATTTGTGTATATCAGATGAAAGTTTATATATATTATAATGTGGAAACGAGATAATACTGAGAATATTGAAAATATTATCAGCACAAACTTGCATTGGACATGGATATAAATTCAGGTTAATTTTTTTCTTCCAACCACTTCTTCTCTCAACTTTTCCTTTTATGTTCAGGCAAATTTGTTTTCGTGGTCAAAAAGACTCAAAATTCTGAAGTCAATTTCTCCTTAAAAGAAAATATTCACATTGCCAGTAAGACCTGCTGACTCTTTAAAAATGTTTCTCAGTGTTGAGGGAACAGCTGTCACTCAGTAAATATATCTTTTCTATTACTCAGCATTGATAGGATGAACTTCTTTTGTTTGAAAGTGTTTTGAAAAGCTGCCTTTGCTGTAACCATGTGAGGAAATACTAACTTTAATTTTAATGTATTCCTGAGGGAACTGGAAGCTTTTGCATTTCTGTACTTTCTATTTTCCTTTCTTAATATCGTGAAGGTCCTGTATTTAATTTTGCCCTAGTGTCCCAACCACAACCAATCCCCTGGCATGGGCTGAGATGCAGACATACACACCCAGAATGCATTGCAACAGCATGTGGACATTCTCACAAATGGATGATGGTTTGGAGAATGAATTACAGATCATCAAGGACCCGTGAATATGGGTAGAAATTCCAGAATCCCGCTCTTTCAACATCCAAGAGTTTATATTATTAAGAACATATCCTACCTAAATAAGTTTTAGACTCTCATTTATTTTATCTTCAATTTAACAAATATTTGTCTAGTGCTTAGTTTATCAAGCTCTATACTAAATGTAAAGGTAAGTAGAGTATTTTATGATGATAATAAGCATTGAAGGATTCTTTTAAATGTCTCAGTAATTGTGGAAAACACAATAAAATAGATCAATAATAAAGGTCATTACTTTCTCTGAATGTAAGCAGCCACTATTATGAAAATCTGAGTAAGGCCTAGTAGTTGAAATTAATACCCTGCTGGCACCAAAATACTTATGTCTGTGTCATTTTTGTTACATTTGCCTTTCTATTATATGAAGGAAATGTACAGATGTTAGTCTTTCTTAAAATAATAGAAAAAGTTGGCACTTAGAATAACTTGAAGGACTTTATGCAGATTGATAGGATGGCCAAATTGTTTGTGAAAGTATATATGCACACTTGGTCACAGTGTTAAATGTGGCCGTCTATAGCTATTGACCCTTCTGAATTTTGTGTGATTGACCTTTCCTCAACCACAGAAAATCTTCTGATCTCAGCCCCTTTCCTCTTACAGGAGCTAACTGAATTAGAATGTAAACTTGACCTATGTTCAGTTCATCCAAAGGTTGGCCATCAACTTATAACACTGCTTGACTTGAAAAGATGAGCTGGACCAAATAATCAAAATAACCTTGGCAATTAAAATATCTTAAATAAATCAATCCTACAAATGTAGTTCATATAATTTTCCTTTAGATTCTGGTTATCTCTGCTTTCAAAAGTCCCAGTTTAATCAAGTTAGACAGTTTCAGATAAAATAAATGAGAGTCTAAAACTTATTTAGGTAGGATATGTTCTTAATAATATAAACTCTTGGATGTTGAAAGAGCGGGATTCTGGAATTTCTACCCATATTCATGGGTCCTTGATGATCTGTAATTCATTCTCCAAACCATCATCCATTTGTGAGAATGTCCACATGCTGTTGCAATGCATTCTGGGTGTGTATGTCTGCATCTCAGCCCATGCCAGGGGATTGGTTGTGGTTGGGACACTCAGCGGCCAGCTTACCTTTCTGCGTTTTAATGGGTGGGAATTCTCAACTCATTAAGCCTGAGGTTTTGAGTGACACATTAGCTTCATGTTGGGCATGGCGGTAAAGCTATCCTTGGTTTGGTACAACTTGGTGAAATTTACTTAATTGGACCATTTAGAGTGCAGTTGGAAATGCTCTGTTCTTTCAAATAATGGCATTTTCACTCTCAGCTTAAAATTTTTTTTTTGCATGCATTATGTAACTCTGAAATTATAATATTAGCCAGTAGAAAAAGTTGATTGCCAAGAGCTGTAAACATTAGAATGAGGAGACAAATCTTAATTGTTTGGAGATGATATAATTATCTACCAAGTAAATCTGAACATGCTAATCTGAAAAGAAAATATGGCTTAGTAAAGAGTTAAGTTAGTAGTAAGTGGAAAGATAGGCATTTCTGCTGAAATACAGTAAATATGTTCCTAAAAAGCCTGATTTGCAATGTTGCACCTTTAATAAAATAGGGGTTATAAGAAAAATGGGGTTGGGAGGAACATACAAAACATAAGAAATTCTGTAACCAGGGTAGTTAACAAAAATGGTAATAATCATAGTAAGATACTAACCCATTTAATAACACTGTAATGAGTATGAAACTTTACTATCAAAGATGAAAGAAACTTGGGAGAAGGTGATGTAGAAAACAGTTAAAAATGCTGAGTTATGGAAGCAAAGATAAAATATGCAAAAATCAGGTCTAACTGTGCCAAGAACATTCTCAAAACAAAGTGGAGACCAAATTAACCCAAAAGAAAGAAGGGGCCAAAGCATTGTGCCCCTCTGTGGTCTGCTGCTTCAGTGAGTACCAAAGTACTGGGAAAGTAACACCTGATAATGTGTTATAGTGACATCATTTCCTATTTGCCAATGGCAAGAGAGCCAGTTCATCTTACAGAAGCACACTTTGTAGCTAACAGGACCTTTCATGAAAAAACCGATAGAAAAAAAGCTTATATGCCATTCATATAGTTATAAGAATGGTGGAAAAAGGTCACTTTTATGAAAATAATATCTCTGAAGAATACCTAAGATCAAAACTAACTAAGATCATGACATCCAGTCNGCAGGAAGAGAAGGGGATCACAGAGGATGAGATGGTTGGATGGCATCACTGACACAATGGACATGGATTTGGGTGGACTCTGGGAGTTGGTGATGGACAGGGAGGCTTGGCGTGCTGCAGTTCATGGGGTGGTAAAGAGTCGGACATGACTGAGTAACTGAACTGAACCGAACTGATCTGAAGAATACCTAGGAGCATACATGATGGGAAGTTTGTAGAATCTTTATGAAGATTTCTCTAAAACTTAACAAGGAATTTAGAAAGGAAAGGTGTGAAGATGTAGCAACATACAGAAATACTTAATACTGTATGGGTATCAATCCTTATCCAATATATTTATGCAATTTGTGTGATTCTATGTAATATTTCAATGGAGTTGGATGCTGTATGTAT